GCCCAGAGTCCCGCCCGGCCCCCGCCGCCTCGGTCTCGCCTTCAGCCTCGGGCTGGCCCTGCTGGAGCCGGCGCTGGCCGAGCAGAGGCAGGCGGCCGAGGCCTGCAAGGACATCCAGGTGCGGGCGGGAGGGCCGGGATAGGCCGCGTTGCTAGGGCGACCGGCGGGAGGGGGCGAAGCCAAGCGGGGAGTTAGCTGGGGAGGGGTTCCTCCTCTCTTGGGCTTCTCTTGACTCGAAACCGGGCAACGTTGTGTATCTTTGTGTGTACGTGTCTTTGGACTACAATTCCCAGAATCCCCCTCCCAGCCAGCGCACCAACTAGAAATCTAGCACTGATTTATTTAAAAGCATTTCTAACCAGCTGTTCTCCTTCCGAAGGACCCAAAGCAGCTTCCCTCCTTTAAAATATAACATAAGCTAAGAATAGGAAGTGTACGAATACTGAAAAGAAAAAGAAGAATTTTTTAAAAAAACACACGAAAAGGTGGTAAACAAAAGCAATAGTAAAAGCACAGTCCAAGCAGGAAGGCATAACAGAAGTCCATCTCAAAAGATCAGGCTCAAGCAGCCACAGCCCTTGAAGGGAAAGTTTGTCTGGAGAGGAAAGTCTTGGCCTGCAAAGATGGAAGGAGAGACTGGCTTCTTGTGGCAGGGAGTTCCACAGTCTCTGGGAGCAGCCACAGAGGAGGTCCCTCTGCCTTGTCCCCACCAAACACACCTGTGAAGGTGATGGGACCGAGAGAAAGGGCATCTCGTGATGGTCTTAACACCCAGGTCCTCAACAGCCTTGAGAGGGCACATCCAGGAAAGCTTCTCACACTTCTAAGAGTTTTCTAGGTGGTGGTTTTATTTGATTTCATTTTGCAAAAGGAAAGACTGAAAAAGTGGCAACCTCTACCTGCAGACAGATGTGGAACAGCCTGCTCTCATGGCAGGGCTATGCCACCTTAGTCTGCTACGCCATTTCTTCAGTGGTTAGCCTTTCCAGGGGTCTCCTCCCCAGCCCTTGAGGGACAGAGAAGGGGAGTGGATCACCCTTCAGGTATCTTTGGACCGTCAGCGTCAATCCTCCCTCGCAACCTGCTGTGCTGGATGGGGCTGCCCTGAGTTGGCAGTCTCACGTCATCGGGGGGGGCATGGCTCCCCACCTCTGCCTTAAGATGTTAACCGGTGCCACCATTTGTCTTGGCAAAGACTGTTGTGAAGGATCAGTCCTGCATATCTTTGCCTGGCAGAAAGGCCTGTGGGAGACAATGGGATTTACTTCTGTGTCAGCATGTATATGATGGGGAACGCATCTGGTGGCAAACATCTGAGAGGGAACATGATGAAATTACATTGATAAAATAGTGAAACGTATGGAAGGGGAACGGGACAGTTGTTGTCCTTGTTTTTATAATACGAGAAAGTAATGGCGAGGATCCTGTTGCGTATGTGCCCTGGCATAAGTCTAGTGGTGTAAATCCCAGCAGCAAAACCCTGCTTGTTAACAAGTCCTTGTTTCTGTTCCTTCTTCCCCACCAAGCCGCACAATCATGCACAGCCATGGTTTCAGCAGAGGTGACGGCGTATGACCTCCAGCCCTGCCAGTCCCTGTGCCCGGGCGGCAGGTGTTCTCCACTATGCCTGTGGGATGAGCCCCACGGCCCCGTCCTCAGCAGCCAGAGAGCATTGGTCCCTAAAATATCGTTGCTGTCAGGGCACAGTTATTGAAATGGAACCGTGTGATCATTACAACATCCAAACGCAAGAGTAGGAGGTACCCACTAAAAAGTCATCATACAATACATGAACTTTCAAGGCTTAAAAGGTCATTTCATTAGGTTTGGACCAGTCTGAAGTACTTTAAAAAGTCCAAAAGTTCACGGCTGGTGAATTTCGCCAAGCACACCTTTCTTAGATGTAAGTCTGGAAAGATACAGGCTGCGTGAGAGTTGTTGCTTAAAGTTACAGCTGGAGCAGCTGTGGGTTGGATCTCACACCCCAGTTGCCACCTGTCCTGTGGTCACCTGTATTTTCTCTCTCCCCCTCCACCCCTCCAGACGATCTTCATCCAGAGGAACAAGCCCCAAAAAGAAGCCCTGGGCTTATTCCGCCAATGAGGCTTCAAACTCGAAGAGTACTTCATCGGCCAGCCCATCGGCAAAGGCTGCTGCGCGGCCGTGTACGAAGCCGCCGTTCCTTTTGCCGCCTGTGGTGAGGAGAGCTGGGAGCCAGGAGCAGCGAAAGGGTCTTCTCGTCCTCCTCCTGAGGATGACCCTCCGCCTCGCTTCCAGCCTTCACCGAGAGCACCTCGCCAGGCTAATGGCTGGAGAGCCACCTACCCGTTGGCCATCAAGATGATGTGGAACCTTTCGGTGAGGCTTGGGGCTTCGGGTTGCTTCCCAGGGAAACAGGGCAGCATGGCTTCTAAGAAATTCCCAAACTTGAGGGTTTTTAAAATGTTTGTATGTGTTTTATATATTATGTAAATCTTCCATCAAACACCTTGAATTTCTTTCATAAAGGCCAAGGGTACAAATACGTAGATGTGCCAGGGATCGGCCACATTTGAGCCCCCGCCTGCCTGTTGTCCATTCTGTCACCTTGGAGTCATTCTCCCCCCCATCCCCTCCTCCCATGAAGGGATGATGGATGCTTCGAAAAAAGCCCCGCTGCTCCTAGAACCGTCCACAAGTAGCAGTGCTTTTCTAAAGCAAGAGGCAGGCGCTTGCAGGGTTGGGGGACAACAAGCAAGGAATGGCTCTCCGTGTCCCTTCTTTGAGACAGGATGTGATTTTCTGCTCACTTCTGGGTTTGGAAAAAGCATTAAAACCGCATGAATAGAGAGGTCTTTCCAGTGGGAGACCCCTGAATGTTCCTTCCCCTTCTTCCCCCCCCCTCCCCATTGTAGCCAGGAGTTGGTTTAAGCAGTTCTCGAAGGCAAGCAACCAGGAAGAGACCCCCTCTCAGGATGCTGGAAGTTGTGTGTTTGTCGAAGGCCCAGCACATTTGAGCTCCGTGTGTATTGTAGGACTGCAGATATATATATATATTCCAAAGAAACAATGAGCTACATGCACAACCATGCTTTAAAGACGTTTTTGAGGAATATCATCTATTTTTCCCAGAAAAGGACTGAATCTCCAACAGGGGCCTGAAGTCATTACTAGGTGTGAAAGGCCACAGTGACTCTTACCATTCGCAGCTCTTCTCGGCTACCTGGCCATGTTGCCCCCTGGCCTACCAAGGGTGGCCCTGACCCTGTGTGCAGCCGTCTCCTCCAAAGTTAATGCCTGGATATCCATCTGGGATCATGGCCTTTGGCACGCCCCCCCCCCCCAGCTGGGGCTGCACTTCCTGTTGTCCCAGCAGAATGACCCGTGCTCCTTGTCATCCTTCTTGCAGGCTGGCTCGTCAAGTGAAGGCATCCTGCACGCCATGTCCCAGGAGCTGGTTCCAGCCGGCGCCTCTGCCTTCTCGGGAGAATTTGGAACCGTCACTTGTCCCAGGTAGGATCTCCTGACTCCGGTGGACTTGGTGCGGGTGTAGTTCTTCGCCCTTTGGGATTCTCCCCGCACCCACTCCCCAAAACAGCCCTCGAGTCAAGCAAATCACAAGTAATTGTCCTTAAAAAGATTAGGGCCACGGTTGTTGTAGGTTTTCCGGGCTGTTCTCGAGGTTTCTCTTCCTAAAGTTTCGCCAATCTCAGTAGCCGGCCTCTTGAGAGGGCAGGAGTTCTAATAAAATTAAAACTCCAAGGCAACTGTAAATGTTACAGAGAAGGCAGGGTTTTTTTTAAAAGAGGTGCCAACGTCCAGCTCAACGCTGCCACTGCCTCCACTCAAGGTGTCATTGTAGTGAACTCAGACTTTTTGCCTCCACCACCCTTCACTAAACCCTGGCCATCTACCTCATAGGGTTGTTCTGCAGATGTGCCTGGTTAAAAATCAATGAATGCACTTTGCCAGTGGAAAACGTAGGACCAGTCATGAACCACGGTAATGGGAATGTCTCTTCCCGCAACAGGAAATCCCTCTTTGGGAAGAAGCGGCTCAAGTCTCACCCAAATATCGTCCAGGTGGTCCGAGCATTCACCTCCGAGATGCCCCTGCTCCCTGGCGCCATAGTCGACTATCCGGATGTCCTGCCTTCCACCCTGAATCCCTCTGGAATGGGGCACAGCCGCACCCTCTTCCTGGTGATGAAGAAGTAAGTCCAGAGAGGGCAGGGAGGTTCATCATCATCTGCCTCAGGTTTCTCGTTCCCCTGGCTTTCGACAATATCTTATCCTTAGCTGGCAAGAACAGGAAGCACCAATTTTTCAGAGAATGGGTCAGCCCCCCCCCCTTCATTGGCTTACGGCCCTCACTCTCCAACAAGAGAATGTGAATTCTTGAGGCTCAGATTTGTAAGAATCCAAACTTGTATCCATTTTCCGAAAATTAAACCCTGTGGACCATTGTGGGATTTTCCTCCATGTTGATGGGTGTTGTTAACTGGCTGGATTGCTCAGTGAGATAGGTGTCCGGTTTCTTTTGTGCCAGGGGTTGGGAATTCAGTTTCCCCACTGTGTTCCTCCCAGCCTGGGTGGCCTCGGGCAACCCGCACAGTCCCAGAAGAAGAGAAGGGTCAACCAGTTCTGAATATTCTTTTCCTGAAAAGGCTGGCCATAATTCAGAAGTGACTTGACTTGATGTGTGTAGGATTGAATTGGTTTCTGTACAAGAAAAAGAAAGAAGGGAAAAAACAGTATATGAAAATATGATTCAGAAGGCTGTAGAGACACCGAGTAAACTGGAGATGCTAAGAACAAGATGGCTTGGGGAGAAATCGTTTGGTGGCTACGTCAGAGTGAAGGGGCTGTGTGTTGTTTTAGCTGAGGGTGGTGTCCCTGGATGCTTCCAGAGTGCCTCCATTTGTTTACCAGCCAAGGTGGGTGGGTGGGAACTTGGGGAATGTCAGGGGCTTTGGAGAGGTGAGAAAGGGCCCCGGTACCCCACGCACAGCCCAGAGCCTCTTCCCACCCTGGGGCTGAAGGGACTTTCGTGACCACCCCACCCACTGCCTCTCCCTCGCCTTTGCCAGCTACCCCTGCACCCTGCGCCAGTATCTCCACGAGACGACACCAGACCCTCGTACGGCCGCCATGATGGTTCTGCAGTTGCTGGAAGGGGTGGACCATCTCGTTCGGCATGGAGTGGCCCACCGGGATTTGAAGACGGACAACATTCTGGTTGAATTTGATGCTGGTACGTGGTTCGTGGAGCCAAGCGACCGGGCCGGGTGGGGGGAGTGGGGTGGGGAGATAAGCCACTGCAGCCCTTCAGGGGATGGAAGAGTCCTGCTCACTGCATCCCTTTGGCACGTTCTGAAGAAAAGAATGGGAGACGCCTTTTGTCTGTTTCTAGCCATGCTCGGAATTCAGGCTCACGTGAAGGTCCCTCCTGAGTAGATACAGGACCGGTGGGGACTGGGGAAGGAGAGAAGGCCCTCTTCACACTGCTTTGGCCCATTCGCGGTGTGCGGGGCCTGCCTGTTGCTCCTTGCCATCATGGCGGAGCTGCACCTCTTCTCTTGTTGCTTGGAGTGGGGACCTTGGGTCCTTAACTTCCTTCTTGGGCTTCATCTCCATCCTGAATCTTACAGCAGGTGGGGGTCCTGGGCACCAGGTCTGCCCCCACCCCACCCCATTCCTTTTTGTGGCCTCTCCCAGGGACTTTTCTCATCCCGTCTCATCGACTCAAGCCCTTGAGTCTCATCAGCAAACCATCGCACCATCCGCTCTTAAGGCCACCACATCTTTTAGGAAGCTGGTGTTTTTAATTGGAGAGGCTCCCATACCTCCCAGAGGGTCTTGGGGCCGTCAGAAGTGGGCCCCTGCCGCATGGCAGCCCACCCACATCCAGAGGTCCTGAAAAGACCTTTCCAGACTCAGGACTGTCCCAATGGAAAGCTGAGGGAGAGCTGAAGGGAGCCCTCCTGTATCCGTTGCCTTCCGGCTTCTGCCCCGTTTCCTTTGCTCCCCCGATTGCCAGCCATTGGTCTCTTCTTTGGAGACCTGAGGTCCTGCTTGGTCAAGAGAGTGGAAACTCAGCACTGTGGGATCATTAAGCTGTAGGGGATTCTGAAGCGAAGCTGTGCTTAATTTGAGTCTAGACTGCCATCACTGTGCAGCTCTTGTCCTGAGGATGAGACTCAGCTCTGACCCCACGAAGCTAATGGTCCCCACTTCTTTTTGTTGTTGTTGTTTTTGTTTTATTAATATAACAAAAACATAAATGACAGAATCATAACTCAAATATACAGTGTAACTCACCACCATTGGGAATATAAATTTTTACCTTAGTTTATATCACCATGCCCCATCTCTTTCCAAATATTCAATGATTCTTGTGCTGGGGAATGACCTTTATGTTTTGCAAATATGTATTCTAAGGGTTCCAACTCCTGTTAAAACTATTTTCCTTCAATAATCTTTTCTGGCTTTCAGTTCACAAGTTCATTTATCATTTAATAGCTAGATTCCACATCTCATTATACCATTCTTCCAACATCAGTTGATTATTATTTTTCCAATTCCTTGCAAATGTCAGTCTAGCTGCTGTTAACATACTGTAATAGCAATTAGTTCCGTTTTCCCCTCTGTCTAATTCTCCCTATCTTTCCTAGCGAGATGCCCGGGGCTGGTCATCACAGATTTTGGCTGCTGCTTGGCTGACGAGAAGCTGGGCCTGAAGCTGCCCTTCCCCAGTTGGTATGTGGATCGCGGTGGCAACAGCTGCCTCATGGCCCCAGAGGTAAGGCCGGCATTTTCCCCACAGAGAGCAGCGTTGCCCTCCCCTCGGTGGGCCTCCTCCCAGCTGAGCCAGTTCCAGGCAGAAGCTGGGAAGTGCCTTTGCATTTCGGGCTCCCCCCCTCGCCCTGTAGTTACTGCTATCGTTTTGCTTTCCCTGCGTGGTTTCAGGACGTCAGTCTGCAGTGCAAGATACATGGCTTCCCGTTGCAGCAATAATGTCTTTATCCCTTCATTGTTAGAAACAAGAGGGAATTAGGTTTTTATGTATTTCGCTTGCAGAGCCCCCACCAACTGGAGTGCTTTTAGTGGGGCACGGTCTGTTAAAAGGTATAAAATACGGCACTACTGCAGTAAAACGGCGACCAAGGAAGCAGAAGACCTAGAGCCAGGATAAAACAGGCAACGGGGAAGAGAGCTTGGCGGCAGCACAGACAGACCTCGCGGCAGCGGAATCAACCCAAACCCAAAGGGCCCGGAAGTGTCAGCCGTTCACCAAGTGCCTGCGGGAGAGGGAGGGAGGCCTGTGCGAGATCCCCGGCCCCACGGGAGCCTCTCTGGGATGGGCCCTGCCCCACACGCCCCAAAGGTCCAGGCAATCGATCCCCTTCTGTGCCGCCAGGTGAAAGCCCTGCTGGGTCAGACAAAAGGGCCTGGCGTGCCAGGAGCCTCGCCTCCCCCTCGCCCACCCAGGCGAGCGACCTGCACTTCCAGTCGAGGCCCTCCTTGCTTTGCGTTGCCTGCCATTGGCCTTCAGGGTTGTGAGGGATTTCTGGGGTGAGTTGGTGGCCCTCCAGGGTTGCCCCTTCCCTTGCCACAGATCGCCGTTTCGGAGTGGGATGTTCCTCACGGCACCACAGGGAAGGACCAGCTGACCCGCCCCAAGCCTTGCTCTCCTTATTCTTCATTATTAACCAAAGCAGTGTCGTGGTTGGAGCTGCTATGACTCAGGAGGCCTGGGTTCAAATCCTCCCCACAGCCACCAAGTTCACTGGGTGACCTCGGGCGGGTTGGCTTCGGCCACTTACCTGACCAGGTCGTCGTGGGGATAGAAGCAGGAGGAAGTGGGCTCCCCAGGGTGTAAAGGTAACAGGTAGATAACAAAACCGTTTCTTCCCCCCAAAAAACCCCAGTGAATACAGTTGTATTTTAATATAATACTGGTTTATTTCTGTTTTTAAATATTTGTATATTTAGTGTTTTTAGCTTTTAAATGTTGTCATTTTAACGTTGAAAGCCACCCTGGGTTATTTTTAAGGAGGAAACCAGGGCAAACATATTTTAAATAAAAACAAATGCATAAATAAATTTGTAAGCAGTGTAGTTTGGCCTTCTGTTTGCCTCTCCTTTGTGGCTTCTGGCTATGAACAGATGGATCCCACCACTCCCTCTGGCCTTCCTTTCCGCAGGTGGCCACTGCTATTCCCGGCCCAGGAGTTCTGATAGACTACACCGGAGCGGACACATGGGCGGTCGGGGCTGTGGCCTACGAGATCCTTGGTGCCCGCAACCCTTTCTACGGCAGCGGGGAAGCGGCACTGGACAGCAGGCGCTACCGCGATCAGGACCTGCCGCCCTTGCCGGAAACGGTGCCCCTGGAAGTGAGGAAGCTGGTCAAGAGGTTGCTCCGGCGAGATCCCGCCACGGTGAGATCTGCCGTGCTTTCTGAAAGGAGAGGCCCTCTCTCATGGGTGGCTCTGTCTGCTGGGGGGGGGGGGGGGGGCGGCCT